GGAACGTTGGTAAACCTACAGGCAAATTAAAAGAAAAGAGACAGAGAAAACAAAGGAAGAATTGAATGAGAAAAAAGAGAATAGAATGAAGTGTATAAATATATAAGCCAGTTATTCCAACTATAAATAAATATCAAAATATCTAATTTGTTATGCTGGAAACGACTTGAAAGGCTCTTTATATACTCATACGAAGACTTTAATGGTAGCTAAGTCTAAAAAATGCATAAAATACAACAGCTAGTGAGTAAACTGTTATACATGAAGAGTAGATCTCAATATTATAAATATATATTTAATAAGAACCTCGGTCCTCTTAAGTCGAATAAGATAGTGTATGACCGAAAGTTGATTTGGCCCAAATTAAGAGTGATATATTTTATGACTCCAATAAATTACAAATTGTCTTGCCTTCCATAGTGGACTGCAGGTTCGATCTTATTTAGGCCTTATCAGCACCTGAATGGGACTAGAAATCAGGTCTTTCACGTAATGGCAACAGATAAGCAATGGAAAGTATGAATAAATCAAGACAAGGGATTGATCACCAAGCAAAGACATATAAACGGAAGAAAATTAATGCATATGATAAAGTTATTTTTATAAAGCAAAGAAGAAACGAATTTGAAGAAGGCTATTTTACCTAATACACAAACGATGGCAATTGATACTTATGATCAAGAGCATTTTAGCCTGCTAGAAGTATGTAATTAATCCTCTCATAGCAGTCGTATTAGCTCTAAAATAAATGGGATTTTTATATCTCGGCTACAAAATTAAGGACTGTCTTGCAGACATATTATTAGTTTCACCCATGCAAAAACCTATCTAAAATGCAATAATTTAAGATGGATTTCGAAAAAAAATATAAAACATAAAAAATGTAGAGTTATTATTTTAGCATGAAAAGAGCGTCATTTGGCTGAACACCTTGTCAAAGATAAAATTTTAACTAGCTTAAAGCTCCCCACACTTGTATGTGTTAATTTAATAAAATATCTTATTTTCGAAGTTTCAAAAGCGCTTTGCCCAACGATTACCACTATTCTTTGGCAGATAATTCCCGAGCTGGCCAAAAGTATGTAAGTAGGAATAAATTAGAAAAAAATGCAATCAGGAGAGATAAATGTCACAAAAATGTGTGAGTTTGAATAGCTAAAAAACATTTTTTTTTCCGAAAAAACGGTTTAAAAGTAAGCTAAGAAGAATGAGAATGATCGAGTTATAGACTTACCTCTTTTAGCAGGATGCGTACGGTAATGGGCTGGTCCGAATCGAGCTTAGTGTCCCAGTCAAGCCCACATATCTGCTTTAGCCGGCCTAGCAGCTCTGCGTGCTGAGCGAGGTTGTCGGTCTGTAAGAGACGTTGAATAATCTCGCTTGGCTTCAACTCCACTAGCCAGTAATCAGTAGCCAGCTCTTCAACTGCACCCATCTGTATCTCTTGGTCACCTACCCAGTTGCGCTCAGCACTACTTATCTGATGAGGCGTAGACATTGGGGAGCTAGCTGATTCGATGTGCTGGTGACATTGGTCTTGCATAGCCAACGTGGGACCAGATTTACTGAATCCAGCCAGTTGTAGGGTGGGTGATCCTTCATGGTATCCACTGAGTGATTCTGATTGAACAGAGGTGTCGGCACGCGGTGTGATGAGTCGCCGTAACGCCTGACGCGACGGTGCCATATGTAAATAGTCACCCTCACTTTGCGGTGTAGGAAGATGATAAACAGCAGTGTCTGAAGCGTTTGGTAGAAATATGATCAAGAGTAAAATGACTCGATAAAAAGAAACAAGATTTCCAGAGGAAAATAACTTAAACGATAATTTGCATTATAAAACAGTAAATATCCATTAAGAGATACGAGTTTATATGACCGGAAAAAGAAAGCAGGACAATTTATAGCAGTGCTGACGAGTGAAAATCAGCTCAAATAATAAGTTTACATAAG